GGTATGGCTTGGGTTTGGGCTTGGGTCCGGTGGGTTTTCCATTTGGGTTGGGGGTCTGTTTGATTTAGGTTAGATTGGAAAGCCAATTTTGGCTATAAGTTAAATAGCCATTTTTTCCCATTTAATTTGTAGAAAATAGTAGATAATTACTAAAAATAATTCAAAAATTCTAAAATGATTTACAGTACATTATTAGTAATTTAAAAATACAGGATCCAATTTTATGCATATAAAACCTAATTAAACCTTAAAAGGGCTAATATTGCAATTATGTGCAATTTAGCTTTGAAAAATACTAAATGTGATTATAAAAATATGTAAAAATTACCTTAGCCATGTTTTGGCATAAATATAGAAATCCAATAGATGAATTATCAAAAATAATAATTTTGGAAATAATTACTGGGATTTTACGGATAAAAAGGGAGGAAATAAATCAATTTAACACCTCTAAAATTATGGAAAAATAATAAAACACTTGGACATGCTTACATATGCACATATATGCTATTTTGAAGGTATTTTTCATATTGAAAAAAATATATAGGGAAAAATCGGGTATCAACAGTTATTACATACCAAATGTCATAAATCAAAATGAACCACCCCCCAAATGAAAGATAGCATTGCCCTCAATGCTAATAATCAAATAAGAACAGGGAAAAGGGGTAGAGAGTAAAGAAAACTCCCTATGTTGTCTCTGTCTACATGGGATCCTCCACCAGAACAGTGTCCTCAGCATCCTCCAGCTGTATCTCCTCATCCTCTGACTGGGGGACTACAGTGTTGCTGAGCATCTGAATCAGCTCCTCAGCAGTGTGTGATGTTGCAGCTGGCTCCTTAGACTGACCGGCTGCTGCCCCTGGTGCCACGAGCTCTGCTGAATGTGCTATTGGGACTGTCTCCTCCATAAAAAGATCCATTGGAAAATCTCCCGCATGTGTAATCTTCTCAATCTCCTTGGCCAACTTCCCAACTGACTCATTTTGAGTCTTTTTCAGCTTCCTCGCCTGCTTCCCCAAATCCTTGATCACCTTCCCATGTAAATCAAGAGTCTCCCTAATCTTCTTCTGGTCGTCTAGAATCTTCTTCTAGTTGTCCAGAATCTTCTTGAATGAGTCCTTCACTGATGAAGGTACCTGAAGCTCTATAGGGACTGAAGGCAGTTCTGCCGCTGCACTAGATATGGCGGACAACTATGTGGTAGTTGCCTGCATCCAATTGTTGAGACTGGACAATGTCTGGGAAACCCTCCATGCAGTCTGAGGGTAGGTAAAAGATGATGGCACTGAAAGTGACACTGAATATGGAGGAGGCATGGCTGCTACTCCAGTAGAAGTACTGGCGGTTGTGGAAGGCTCGGCAACTGATCCTGTGGCCACTACCCCTGGCTCTTAAGACTGGATAGTGGAGGTAGTGGCTTTACCCTTGAATTTAGGGTTGTCCAGTCCCTGTAGGACATCAAGTGCCCTACTGTTGGCCCAAGTAAATGAGAAGTTTTGAAGACTGACAAAAGAACTCAGACATGGACCAGGTCCATCTTGTGCAGCATAGTTGTGATCAACCCAAACATGTAAGATGCACGTGAAGGAGAAGTTAGAAGTTGTGATCAACCCAAATATTAGTGTTGTTCTCTTTTGCAGGTAATGCACATAAGCAGAAGTTAGACGTGAATTGAGAGCAAAATAGCAAGGCAATTTTGCAAGCAATTTATGTGTGATTCAAGCGTGCAATCCTGAAGCTACTTGAACCAGATAGAAGAACCAGTTCCAAGAGTCTATCATTTATTCTAGTTCAATTGTAGTAGGTGATTTTACATTGTACCTTTCAGCTTATTTAGAAGCAATTGTATTAGGTACTGTTGCTCCAAAACGCACACGCAAGTATACGTGGTCGACAAGTAATATAGGATTATAAGTCCAGATATCGTACCCACAGGGACTTGTGATTAACTATCAACTAAATTAAACCAAACACTTAATCTATTCAAGCGATTCCTAAAGTATGAATATTTAACTAAAATTAAACTAGAGTAACAAATTAACAGATCAAAGAAACTAAGTTGGAGAATTATAGAGACAAATTCAATATGAGTGAATATTCTAGAGCTATGGGTTAGCTAACAATCCCGTTGAGTTTTCCACCTAAATCGTCTAATTAATTTATCTGGTTTATTGATTGACAGGGTTAATATTGCTCGTAGCCTTCTCCCGAAGTACAACTCGCCTATTCAAGCTAACCTAACGCCTATATTCCTATGGAATTAGGATTAACAAGAACGCATTTATAATTCCCGTATAATAACCAAGCAAGGCGATTAGGTATATTCCTATCCTAACCGCAAATCCGCTCCCCCTAAGAGTTAAGATCTTGCTCTACTCAATCTTATATGCAATCTAGAATTCCCTCTCCCGAGTTCAATCCTAGATTCATAGATAGTATTCAATTGGTGATCAAGCAATCAAATAATTAAGCGCAAGATTGAATAAGAAAACCAATATGATAAAATAATAAGAACAATTCAAGCTTCAAACTACAACATTCATGTAGCACACCCAACAACTCTAGAACAAACAAACTATGAAACTAAAAGAAGAGAAGAGAAGAAAAACTAGTTAGAAGTCTCCTCCAAGCGGGGTGTGTGTTCCCCCACGTGAATTCCCCTTCAAAGTATGTTAGATCTCTCTAAAGTGGTGTCCTCCCCCAAAAAATATGTTTAGTCTTGCTTTTATACGTGTTGGGTAGGTCTAGGGCCGAAATAACCTTGTTTTGGGCAAAATTGGAGAAAATTCACGTCACCGGCGCCCTGGCTAGCGCTAGGCGCTGCAATATTTTTAGCTACTGTTTTTGGCGCCACAAGTAGGGCTGGGCGCCACCTGTGGCGCCCAAATTCGCAAGTTTTCCGGTTTCGTTCGTTTTGGCTCAAATCTTGCGCGTTTCGCCCCCAATTGATCCCGAATCATTCCTACACATAAAAATACTTCAAATTAGTATAACTCATAGCATTTAACATCCCGAATTCACGAAACAAAAGTAAAATATGAGGCGATATACATAAAAGTATATATGCTTTAAGCTAAACATCAGTTGACTAATATTGGTTTGATTCACTTTTATCTTTCGTTTCTATTTCATATTACTTGATTATTAATTGGTATTGAACTAAATCACGTATCTTTAAAATCACAAACAAATTTAATTGTTACTCATTTTCGAAGTAAACACTTCTCAAAAATTCGCTCTCTTAATTTCTCTCTTTCTGATCCTTGAATTCGAGTTGCATGCTATTGATAAATTCATCATCTAAGCGCTTAAGTTTGTGTGAAAGATACTGTATTTGCCATATCAGCTTCAGGTGCTTAATTGACACTTTTATTTATTTATTAAGATTAAGTATTCAGGGGGAAACACATAAAAAAATCTTGACAACTTTAGATGGCTACATACGTACTCCTTCCGGTCCAAAATAAGTGATTTTTTGGCTTTTTTCTTGTGGTCCAAAATAAGTGATTTTTTCAGATTTCAAGAATGAATTAATTATTTTTTTCCTACATTGTCCTTGAAGTAAATGGTGTTGGAATATGTGTTAGGAGTGTTTATGTGAGATAGTAAAGGTTAATATGGTCAATTCCATTGCTAATTAATGCTAAAAGGTGGATTTCTTAATTTGTGTGAAAACATTCAAAAAATCACTTATTTTGGATCGGAGGAAGTATTTCAGGTTAGTAATTTTGTGTTGGGAGTTAAGGGAAAACCAATCAGGATTCAAACTTTCAAATCCACCTTACTTTGTGCTTAGCTTCGGCTCGTTCTTCAATCTTTTGTGTTAATAATTTTACTTATTATAGATTTTTTTCTTTTTGGAAAATTCCCAGAGAAATTTTTTTAATTATATTATATTTCAGCTGATTTGATATTTGTAATAACCTAACAATGGCATTCGATAGAGCTAATTCTTCAAATTATGGATTTTTAGTCATCTGATATCCTTGAGGATCATATTCTGTTCCCTATTTTTAGGGGATCATTAATGGCTCTCTACTAATCATAATGTGGCTTGAAATTTGAATCCTGACGTATAATATGAAACTGAGGCACTTACACCAATGTAATATTCCCCTTGCTCTTCCCTCCCCCTTAATAGCAATAAATTTAGAAATAAATAAAAGGAATATTAACTCTTCTACGCTTCAGTCACTATTTTATATGGTTTAAAAGTGTATTTCAAGTAAATACTACTCCCTCCATTCATTTTTACTTGGCATGAATACTAAGAATAGATTTTCAATTTTACACACATATCAAGAGGAGATAAAAAAATTACTGTTATACCCACAGTATTTATTACTCATTTCAAATCATTTACACAAATCTAATAAAATATGCATCAATTAATATGGGCATCATAGTAATTATACACATCATTTATTATTTCTTAAGGGACATGAAAAGTCAAAACGTATCAAGTAAAAGTGAACGGAAGGAGTATTTTTTATATTCATAAATCTTCTGGTTTCACACTTTTTTGTCCAAATAAAGTCATTATTAAACAGCATTTCAACTTTCAAAACTTTTTTATTTAATTTTTCAACTTCAATTATTATTATTTTGAACTCAACTCGAATACTTCAAAATGCCAATTATATTTAATGCCAATATTTATTTTTTGGCCTCATTTAATGCCTACTTGTAATATGGTGTTATTTCATGTCAAATTTTGAATTGCGAACCTCCCACCGTATCCTCTGACCTGATTTTCCCAAACCCAAATTCCCATACACTCGATCAGCGAAACGAAATCTAATTCAAATTGCTTCTACATTGTTGACCAGATAACTCTTTCTTTTCCAGTTTGAGTAATCCACTCTTTGCAAATCAAGATTTTTCACCTTTTGGCCCATTCACATTTTCTCATTTTGTATCTCTCAGACTAAAGACGTTGCTTCCACGATCTCAGTCTCAGCTGCTATATTAATATTTATATATATAAAAAAAAAAAAAAAAAAAAAAGGAGTCAGGTGGGATTTTTCTATCTTTGTTTAAAGCTTTTTTCTTTTCTTGAGCCACTGTTAAGAACCCGAAAAGAGAACCCGATTATGAATTATTCCATGGGTTCTGATATGGGTTTGCTAAGAATATTGGTTGCCTTTGATATGTGTTTTGTGTATGAAATACTTTTTTCCTAGGCTTGTATCTATTACCTGCTGATTGATAGGAATTCACGAGAGAGCAAAAACACCAGGTATATACTTAATCTTTTTATTTTTCCAGTTCTAATTTAGTTATTTCATCAGTGAAGAAGCAAACTTTTTTTACAAAATGTATATTTTTTATGTATATATGTGTATTACATGCATATAATATACATATTGTATACACTTTTGGGCTAGCGAATACCATTAGTTTCGGCTTCTGGCCAATTTTGTATTTTCCCCAACTTTTTTTGTTTTCTGTAATCATATACTAGTTCTGCTTTAAAATACAACTTATTTAGCAGTCATGGAATGAAAATTATTTTTAAGTTTATTCACAATATAGTACCGAGAAGATGCATAAAATATTTGTCTTACTGATTGAAACCTGTGGATTTAGTATGGTGAAAATGGATCTTTTAGCTGGCACAATGTGTCTCACAAGAAGGTAATATTTATTTCCTGCTCGAATCAGTAGCTTTGCTTAGATGTTGACCCAAATCAACGAAAAATATTGTCATGTTTACCACTAATAGTTATAGCGAATTATGGACGTATAAAAGGAATATCCAGTTTACCTTCAACAAATCCTGGCAGAATGAACTTGGCTCATAAAATCCTCTTACTATTGCTGACTCAGAATTATTCCAAAATTTTTGTACATTCTTTGTAACCTGAGAATGCATACTAGAAACCATGGATCTCAAAAGAGCATATGGTGGTGTGATCTCGTCCTGTTCTTCGACTTCTTCTGCCTGTTTTACAAAATAATGAAACATGCTTTTACGCGTTTGAAACTCAAAGGATTACTATGAACGGAACTCACTTCATCTGCACTTTATTGCTGCATTTAACTTTTGGAAAGTCATGTTCTTTTTTCTACTAATCTATAATTTCATGCTTACAGGATTTTGGAATTTGGAACATATATCCTATCATATTAGTTGTGCCTGATGATCGCGGATAAGACCAATTTACCAGTGAGCTTAGTACTTCCTGTTAGAAAGGGCTCAGCTGGAAGAAAACCAGATAATATCAGCAGAGGGAAACCAAGAATTTCGACTAACGAGCACAAAGTTCTTCCATGCTATCGCAACCCTTTTATGCATTCATCTAATGATGGAAGTATTTCGAGAAGGCTATCCACTGGAACTGTAGAGAAAGGTCAAGATATTCTCCCTCATTATCTGAGAGCTTCCGCTGGTTCTTGCCACGACTTGTGTAAATATGGAAGGAAACATTCGTTTGAAGCAGAGTCGAAGTATCCTCTATCAAAAAGAAGTAACAAACCACCTGCCGATGAGCCAATAAAACTTACAATGGTGAAACGACCATCTTTGCCCAGGACTCTAGAAGGCGTAGTTGCAAGAAGCAGAAGAAACAGTGATGTTAGTCTTAGAAAAGAGAAGATGGTACCAAAAGCATCTGCAATTAAGTCTTTCAAGTCCCAAGCTTGTTCATCGGCTCCTCTGAAGAACCAAAACAAGATACAGAAAGATGGAACCACCAAATTGAATGCTGAAAAGGTATCTAAGAAAACCATGCATGTTATTAATGATGAGAAAAAAAATTTAGAGCCTGAAGAGGATGGTAACATCATGTTGTCACTTCAACTGCCATCAATTTCATTTCCCGAATTGTTATCTAATGATGAAGGAAAAGAAGAGGAGGAGATTGACTGCTCGGAAAATGAGTACACATGTTGTGAAAACAAAGGTGTAGTAGGTAAAAGTGAGAAGAAGACGTTGAGCAAGGGCAACACATACACAGGTGTTTCCGAAAATAATGATCCTTCAGTGGTGAAACTGAAGTTCAGGAGGGGGAAGGTAATTGATGGGAATGAAAGATGTACCAATCCTAACTCAGGAATAGTTGTTTTGAGGCACCAAGATTTGCAGGAGAAGAAAGATGCTCAAGTTTCGCTTAATAATGTGATAGAAGAGACGGCAAGCAGGCTTGTTGAAATCAAGAAGAGCAAGGTTAAAGCTTTGGTTGGTGCTTTTGAAACTGTAATTTCCCTACAAGAGAATAAGCCTTGTGCACTCGATTAGCAAACAGAATTTCCTTAACCCCTGTAACTAGAGATACATATACAACTAATTTGATGGATGATAATGGGCACTGTTTATTTCTTAACGGGTATTTGGATATTTCCCTCAGGATGTTCTAGGAAAAGAAAATTGAAGCAAGAGTACCATTTGTCTTCAAAATATGTGGTGTTTGAATGTAATTTCTTCTGAGGTTGGATTCTCAGTTTAACGAAGTAACAAGTATTGACTCATTTTATGAAGGATTTGTCCGTGTTATTTGGATAAAAGTGCATTGAAGATGACACAGCCTGTAAAAGATAATTGAAGCAAATTCTTGGAACACATGTGACATCGATTGTCACTGTTGACTTATTGTATAGTCTTGAACATTTCTTACTTCATGAATTAGCTTTTAGGTTCAAGGTCTATTTTTTGTATTGGTTTATGTTGTGCATCTTGTCATCTACTGCAAAGGTGTTTATACGCGCTTTGAACCCTTCTAAGGCACCTGTCTCCATAAAACTAACACTAAAATCGTTGCAATGTCACTGTTATGGAGACATATAATTCCTCCTTGGATTTTTTTTTTTGCAATCAAAATGAGCCAACAGTGCATACCTTTGGCTCTCTAGTTGTTTTCAAGCTTCGCCTACAACCTTAAAAACGCTTTGGCTTAAAACGTGGAGTAATTTCTATGTGTTTAACACACCTGAAATTCTTTCCTTCCTCAAATAGTTTGGTTTACATTTATGTGTGTTTAAGACACGCCTAATACTATTTCATTTATAAATCTTTATTGATAATTCAATAAAAACGACATGTGTTTTTACATAAACTGTTCATCTCAACTTTATCTCTAATCATGATAAACTATTATTATTTGGCATAGACATCGTCGGTAAGTTTTTTCGTACGCCAACACCCTCGCCACCTCCAAGTGAAAAAGGTGACAAAGCCACGAGTTTAAGTTGCCACGGACATCAGTCAGAAAATAAGGAAAAATGAAAGAAATTGTCAGTAACTAATCTCCCAAAAAACGCCAAAATCAATCATGAGTAACTTTTTATTCTAATCAATCAATTAATATGCCCTTATATTGTTTTAATCAACTGTAAAATACCTTCGCATCACCATTGATAATTGATCAGGAGGAACTTGAGAACCAGAGGTTAAATTGAGTAAATCGCGCAATTTGATTAGTAATACTAACTCGAAAATTCATCATGTAGAAGAGAGCAAAAGCTACACCACTAGAAAAGTTTAAAAATATATAACTACTACACCTCAATCTTAAACAAGTTAGAGTCAGCTATACAGTCCTCACTTTTACATTGAAATACAAAACGTTGAAGAAATGAAATCTCTAAAATAATCACATCCCTAATGTATGCTAAAAAACATGGAACACATAAGCAAAAGGTCAGTGAGTGGAAACTCGGTAAAAAGAATTTTTTCTGATCGTATCTATAATATCTCTCAATCATACAAAACGTACCAATATGTATAACCTACGTAGTTACCCAACTGGGGACTTAAAACTCTCCTACAATCTATAGTCTAAAATGATCGACATGATTTAGTCAAAAAACACAAAAGGGAAATGCGGGGGTGATGGCAACCAAATTGACAAGAGAAAAATGAAATTAACTGAAAAGAATCATCTCAACCTCTAACAGGGCCAAAGGGGCAGCCTTCAAACAGCGTCAGCATCCTACCTTTGCTTATCAGGATGTCCTAATTCATCACTGATAGTAATGGTGCGCAGTTTATGCCACGCCCCAGCTAAATGGAAAATATACAATGTACGTTTCCCATCAACAAAAGAGGCGATGAATTTTGTTTTACAGATGGGAAGAATGAATCTCATATCCATGCTACCGATGCAGGTTCTCTTCGTAGAAGTGCGCAACACTCCAACAATTGAATATATCCAACCAATTCTGCGAAGTATCAGAATCTCCATCTCAATTGGACTTAAAGTTCCCCACACATATTCAGCACAATCTGTGCCATTTAAATTTCTATTGTGTGTGTTGTCCTTGCAGCACAACCCATAAACTACTCCAATATGTGGCAACTCCTAATAAAATCATTGGAGCAGTTAACATACTTGGTCCAAAAAGGGCGGAGATGCTCAAAGCCTATGTCTAGCCACGGCTTGGATTGGCCATTGTAATGAATTACAGCAGCCTTCTTCACATTCTCAATGTTGGTCTTATTCTGATAGCCCAAGCCAAGCATGTGCCACGAGGGGTCAATTGGATGGACATGACCCTTGAATGCAATCAAAGCAGGAGGCAGTGTTCCAAGTTTCCACATTGTCAAGTTTGACTTCAGATTCTACAATGACCAAAAAGTTTCAGAACACCAATTAATAGTACATTTATTTCTGCTTAATAGAAAATTAAGATAATGCCAAGGACTAGATATCACATGATTTCAAGTTGAATCGCAATATATAAGCAGTTCATTATTCAACTCTTCTCCCATAGAAATAATTGATCAATCCTTCGACTATCAATAAGTGGCATGATACAACAAAATTTAGTGACCCAACATCAAATCTACACCAACCCCAGGGGGAATAGAAGGTAAAGCAAAGATCCCATGCCCCACTTTCTATACTTTGTCTATTTAAGAATGGAAATAACAAAAGACAATGAAGACCTCTGGAACCTTTAAACTTCTTACTCACAATATTCGTGATGTCTCAAGCGGGACGAAGATCATAAAGATTATCTCATATGACAAGTGAAAATGCTGAACTAGGACGTACTTGTGTCTCCTAGATGAACGTGTCAATAGAAAAGTTAAACGAGCCACAAAGTGGTCAAGGATTATGGAGACATAAGCAGGAATCCTAGAAAATTTGCAGATGTTGAAAGATTTAAAAGAAGGTAATCTCCAGCTCTTGAAAGATAACAAAAAATAATCTCAGATTTCAGAAAATTCATATATTTAAAGATTAGGTTAAAGAATCATGGAGATCTGAGTACCTCTTTAAGCCATGTATGATAAGTATCTCTTATACTTGTCTTTCTCCATGCACGCAAGTCAAAGATATTCATCCCATAAGCCCATGCACACTCGTCGGGGTTCAAATTCTTTGCTATGAGATGATGAGAAAAATTGAAGTAGTTTCTGAATCGCTTGGACATCACCCACTTATCTTCACCTTTACAGGTCTCAACAGCTCCATTCACCTTTCCATTCAGGTCAATTTCCCACAAGGGAGATAGGTCACGTTGAATTACGACATCATCATCCAAGAAAACCACCTTGTCCAGATTTGGGAAGAGCTGCAAAATACAACACAAAAATCTCAAACTTGTACTGGAAAGAGAGTGTTCATATCCAGACAATGCAAAAGTTGGAATACAAAAACATGTGAAAGAATAAAGAGCAGAAAAATGGCAAAATGTAATTTTTAAATTCAACCAAAAGCAAGAAGGAGAAAATAGAAGAAAATATTTCTGCATGAAGTGGGATTCTTGCTGAAATGAGAGAACACGGGGCTAACACACTTGTAGTCTTTATGGGACATCTTCTAAATGGCAGAACAAGAAAAATAAAATGAGGAATAAAGAACTGCTAATATACAAACTTCACTCTCCAAATTTCAGTATTTTAACACCTATTAATGCACAGTAGGGGGTGCAATGATTTGTTCATTCGGACTGGAAGCTGATACAAGCTTGAAAATTGTGAGAGCAGATATGTTCCAAGCAGTGGTACATTAGACTCGGCCATTCCCTTCTGTTGGCATATAAATAGAAAATGATTGTGGAGCTCAAAAATCCGTGCTCTTTAGCAATATGCAAACATACAATTCGGGTAAGGAGTACAAAATTATATAGCCTCTCTGCTCACATGTACATACTGAAAGTTGATTATGTGTACATACTGCTTGTGTATGAATACTACAGCCTACAGAAAGTTTTAATGCTTGACTAAATCTAGGTTGAGATTAATAAAGCAAATTCCATAGCAGGCATCTTGCTTAAGCAATAATTTTGCATAATTAGACCGATCATTTGACTCTATATTTATCCTGGTATTTTGTTCCTGAGGGGTAAAGTAAGCCTTTTAGACGTGACAGATTTCCTTCATTCTTTTTTTGCGTTTTGCATATTGAAAACCAGACTCCCCTCCAAACCCCTACCCAGGAGCTCAACATGGCCCTTCCCCACTTTTACTCCGTTAGTGACTTGACACCCAACCTTATGCTTACTAGGTTATCCCTCTCTTAACAAGCCTTTTTGACCTGACCATTTCATCGTTCCACAATATAATTTAGAGCACAGAAGGCAATTTATGCCATATGACGAAGTGTTACCTCTGGCAAATATATGCGGAGGTGATTTAGCAAGGATATGTATTTCGGACTTCTAGCCTGCAATTTTGAGGCAAAAGATCGCGGAGTAATATCACTGAGATTGGCACCTGCAACATGATTTCCATGGTAGTATTTCCGAATCCCATAATGGCTCTCAACTACTTCAAGCACTGGAACGTTTTCTCTTGTCAACCAGTCAAACTGATGAACACCTTTAACTTCCACAATAGCAGGAGAGACAGGATTCAGAGCAAACCATGAATGCATGCCTGCATATGTTTTCTTATCAGTGATAACGTGGAAAACAATTTTTTCAGGCTTTAGAGATGACTGCACGCCAGAATTGACGACAACTGACGCAGCTAGGATGTTATCAGTCGACAGTACAAAATGGTGCAATGAGTTGTCAGAAAGCAAAGGGAGTAGTTCTGGTGAAGGCAACTGTTTGCGTGCACGAGCATTGGTCGAGTATTCATCAGTCAACCGCAGTGAAAGACAGTGAATGCCTTTTGGAACTGCACTTGCAGCAAAGTGTTTATTCATCAACTCTGCAAATTTTGATTCTCTGATCTCCCTTTCAGATCTCTCCATCTGCAAAATAATGAATTCATTCAGATGAAAAGAAAAAAGTAAAGGAAAGTTTAACTAAGGGCTATATGCAGATTATCCCTACGTACACACAGAATCCGAAGCATGCACAGGCATTAAAGAAGCACTATTATGTGGTAAATAATATATCAATCCCCGCCCAAAACAAAGTGGCAAGCACAACAATAAAGCCAAATGGAAATGCGAATTAATATGTCTGAATAAATAGTACACAAAGAAAGAGTGAGGCCAATTACATGCACATACCATTCCCTTCAGCATCAAAGCAAATTCTTTTGCGCTGTACTTGTTGTTTTTTATTTCAGAAACCAGTTGACT